AGCCACTAATCACCGCTCATCCTTGTGTTTGATTTTGACAACAGTGTCTTCCGTAAATCCTGCAGTGACCGAGATGATGGCTCATGCTATCCAGATCCAATGGACACCTTCAAAAATAAGCTCTATACATTGTAATATAACACTTGACGATAGTGCAACCCTAAGAGCCAGTGTGCCCTGAAAATAGATGTGATATAATATTTCTGCAAGACCCCACTCAGGGAAGAAACCCAACACTCCTCCACCTTCTGCATCAGTGGTCGACAGCAGACATTTGTAATCTCTTCTGCCTTTTAGCTGCTGGTCAGCTGAACACTTTGATTCATGTGAACACAGAAGTGGAAAAAAGGTAACCTGCGTCTCAGGAACAAGTGAGCACACTTGGTGGCTCACAAGAGGCTGAAGCGAATTGAGGTTGGAGATTCCCATTTTGGCGATTAATGAGGTAATTCATGTAAATGCTTTGGTTTCTCATTAGCATACTGTAATGAGATGAGCAACCTACTCACTCACTGCCCTCTTCTTCGTCTATTTCTTCTTTTTCTTCTGCCTCAGCATTAGCATCGACGTGCTACGCTGACATTTACAGGCAAATTAATACAAAGAGACAGCCGTGACCTCCTGAGTGCTGTGTGTGTGTGTGTGTGTGCGCGCGCGTAGAGAGAGAGACTGTGCTGTGCTGTGCTTACCAGCTGTTTCATTCAGCCATCTGTGGTGTCAGATGTTTGTAAGGATGCTGGAAGATTCTCAGCCCGGTGTGACGAGCACAAATGCACATTTTCAGCATTATTTGGCACGCATGCATGCATATACGCACGTGGAGACACATGCATATTCACACATGCACACACACTTTTCCTTTTCTACCTCTGTTTAGGTCAGCGAAATTCAGTTTAATGTACTCAGCTCTGTCACGTTGGTGCTTTTTTTGCCGTGAAATTACGTAACAGACACAGCAGAAGGTGCCAAAATTAATTACTATAGAACAAAAACAATTAGAACACATCGTAACATTATAAGTCGGTCTGTGCTGTTAAAAATAAAAAGTAAGCTGACAGGACAACTCCGGATGGGTTTTTATTTTAATAGCTTTTATTACCATTTCCATCAGTCATATTTATGCAAATAATTTGGTAACCATTGTAACATGTGCTCGTCATTGTGGGTACTTTCGTGATTAATAGTTCAAAAGCTGTTAATACTGCTGTTCTTTTATTCTGCTCCATGTACTTTGTCAGTTCATTAAGTCCATTTAAAAGTGTGTGACAGCGATTCCTACAGTAATAAGCCCCCCAAAATATTACTGTGTAACACGCTCCCTTTTGGTCCTCTCTCTATCTGTTAGTTATCGTTCATAACGTGTTCAGTTTGCAGTCTAATAATACAAATAATTCTTGTAATCAGTCATTTCTTTGGTAGATCTTTCTGACACCAAAGAACATAAAGAAAACACATGAGAAGCATTAAAGTGCTGCATAAACTTCAGTCACAGGAATTTGATTTCCCCACA